AAGGAAATTTTTAAGAAAAATGTTGTGTACGGGAAAGAGTTTTTTTTTTTGAATTTATTTTTTTATAATATTTTAAATAAACTTTTAATTATATTTATATATAATAATATTAAATATAAAAACTATATATAATATCATAAATCTATTTTTAATCTATTTTAAATTTAAAAAAATTTTAATAACATAATATTTTAATTATAAAAAAAAATAGTGCTAAAATAATGCTTATACTGTATGCTTATTGTGTAAATAAAACTTTATAAAGAATTATTATTAAATTCATAAATTCATTTATATAAGCTTTTCAATTTAATTATTGTTTATTAAGTCTTTGTCATATTAGAAATTTAATTATTTTATTGATATTAAATAATTAAGGCTATTGCTATTTATTTCATTGATTTCTTTAAAAGTTTCTATTGTATTTACAATTTTTACACGAATTTGCAGTTTAAAATAATTAAATAAGTCGTGTTCTTGAATGTTTTAAATGCAATTATTTTAATTTTTTGTAACTATTTAGGTGCATTATGAATTAAAGAACCAAGTTCATGCTGATTCAATTGAAATCTCTGACTTATCAACGCTTTGGAATTTTTTTTGGATCTCTTCAGTGTCAAGATTCAATGTATCATTGATACTAACAGAACCTATCGTCTCACTAGTTTGTTCGGGTTCTATCACAGGAGAATCTAATTTCTTTTCTAATTTTTGCTCCACATCTTGAATAAAAAATCCACGAAATCTTGGTTGCCTTCTAGACAAAGGTAACGGCTGATTAAAATGTATATCTACAGAACAGCATATAAATAAGCTAACCGAATAACTCATTCAACTTATCCTGGTTATTGAGATGAAAGATAATTTCAATACCCTCTTTAACTGATTCATTAACCTTTATATCACATTTTAATGGCTCTGGTAGACTAAAAATTCCTTCTTGTGCCAAATCTTTGGCAATTCCGCTGTCTTTGTAACTGATCCATCCAAAACTAGATATTCTTTTGTTATCTTGTTCAGAAGTCTAAAATAATAAATAATTTAAATATTAATTTGTTGTTTTAAGACGATCTTAAAGTAGAATAAAATTTAATATATACCCTAAAAAGTTTAAACTCTGTTAATTGACCCTTACTGTTAAAAAACGAAAACACAGTTTTTGCTTCCTCGGCACTTCTAATTGCTCTAGGATATGTAGTAAAGTAAAGGCGAATTGGTTTTAATAATCTTGTTGCTGTTGACATTGTTTCCCAAATCGTTAAGCTTTTTTTATAACGTAAACATGAAATTTATCAGCAACAAAGATTTAAAAATAATTTTTTTAATATAATTTTTTAAAACTCGTAAATTTTCATCCCTAGCCAGTTTAGCTCAGTTGGGAGAGCGTCAGACTGAAGATCTGAAGGTCGTGTGTTCAATCCACACAACTGGCAATTTCAAAATTTTTTGTTTTTTAAATAAAAATTTATAATAACAAATTAATTTATTTTCGAAGATAAAAAAAATTTTTGGAATTCAAATATTAATCGTAATTTTTTTTTGATATTAAATATATTAGAAATAAAAATCGAAATATTAAATAAAATAAAAAAATTTTTTTTTAAGATTAAATGCACATGTGCGGTTTTCATAAACATCACTATTTAATTGCTATTTAATTGTTACTTAATAGTCAAATAATAATAATAAATAATAAAGCAGTTATAATAGTATTAATTACTATATTGCTATATTTTATTGCTACTAAATTACTATTGCATTGTTATTATATTATTATTATATTATTATTATATTGTTAAATATAAATAGAAACTATATTATAATTGTTTTACTACTATTTATATAACTTTTACATTACTATTATATTATTATATTGTTGTAAAATAGTTATTGTAATTGTAACTGCTTTATTTCTATATTGTTACTATTATATTATAATATAATAATAAATTGCTATTGCTATATTACTATTTTTTTTAAAAAATTATATTACCACTATATTGTTACTATATTGCTATTACATTATTATTACATTGTTAAAAATAATTACTTTTAGTAAAGTTATATTAAATCTAAATTTTATTATTGTTTAAATAAATAATTTCAAGTTTTTTTTGTTATATTAAATATAAATTTAAGATTTGCAATATTTAAAGATTTTATATATAAAATTTAATTATTTTTTTAATTTTATATAATAAGAATCTATTATTTTAAAATATAATTAATTTTCAATTATATTATTAAGATAAAAATTAAAGATTACACCTTCGTGATGATTAATAAAAACCGCACATGTGCATTTAATCTTAAAAAAAAATTTTTTTAT